TTTTTCATCAAGGTATCATGACATAAACATGTTTAAAAACCAAGTTCATCGCTGCCTCAGAAATGATTTTTTGTGTCCACTCAATATGGACAGCGGAAATTTTGATTACCCCTTGTATATAGCGACATGTGATAAAAATTACACTAAAAAGAATTCACACAACGACTTTATTTTAAATCATCTACTGGTTGTTACAGGCTGAAGGTCTTTCAAGATGCTTCTAATCATTGTGTTACGCATAAACGAGTGAATGAACTAAAAAAGTTTTTTGTATTTCTAGTAGTAGTAGAACAACGAATATCCAATGAATCAACAAATGTTTTTGACCCATGTCCACTTCAAAATATCTTGTTACTAGGACAAAAGTACTGTCGCTGAGACTGAATATAGAGAATACTCTGCTTTATACAAAGTGGTCCATTGAAATCAAAACTGAGGTTCTGTAGGTCATCACAACCGGATTATGAAAAAACGCTGGAACACAACTACATTTTCGAAGGAGACATCGTTCTGAAATGTTCTCAGCGCTGCGGAGTTGCCGCTTCTATCGAAAAGTTGCAGAATTCTGAATCCTAAACCGCTTACCCACCTTTATCGTGTAGAAAACATTAAAGGTTCAAAACTGTTTTTTTTCAGTGGCGTGGAGGTTAGGGAGAAATAAACCAACCTCTACTTCATAATCTTCAGTTATTAGTTAGAGAAATGATGATCCCGCCCAAAACATAGCTTAGAAAATGCTGTTATTTGTGAGAGATATTCGCAAAAAACTATATATATATTTTCCAATTTCTATCTCGAAAGTGGTGCAGTTTAAAAGGTAAGTTGAAAGAAACCTTCTTCCTTATTTTTGAAGAAAGCTGTCACATTCTGAATTCCTGCGCATATATTATGGAACACTCTGTTTAATAACCTACATTTGAAATTCACTTCAAATATCGCGGAAACGATGATAAAGGTCACCTTTAAATCGCAATTGTTATTTCTCCTTGAAACGTTCATGTTCGATATGAAACATTACATGAACATTACATGAATGCATCAAAATATTGCTTCTAGTAACAAGCATAGCTGTCACTACTGTCACTGTCAAAATTGTGCGTTCTCCTATTCTGCCAACATAACGAGTATGTTGGGCAGTATGGAGATAATGAAACAATCATCTTGCAAATAATATATAACCCTCTCGCTGTGACTACGTCATGGAAATGTAAAACAACTCAAATATTGTGAATTGACTACAATGTTAACAAATACTGACGTCTGAAGAATAATCATATTATCTAGATAACTTTGAATAATAATCTTCGAACAATGATCTCAGAATGATATTAGGCATCATGCAGGTTATTCTGAAACTTCTTTTCAACTGAGCCTTCTCTATATATTTTATAATCACCCAAACAAATATGTATAAAGGGATCCAGGTATACTACTCACTCCTCCAACATAGATCATTAACTTGGCATCTTGGCAACTTTGCCTTCATCATCAGGCAATTATCTTCAGAAAAAAACTTCGATTACAAGGAGGTGAACCAATTCCTTCTAGTAAAAAATACATTTTGCAAACACGAGTAGGTCGGTACTTAGCCGTGTTTGCGCAAGAAAATCATAGTCACTATAATGCACGTCAGATTCCGATATAGTATTCCATTCCCTGAAAAACTTTGAACCGCGCCTATGGCACCAGGCTGGATTTCAAAATTAAATTAACGCATTACCACTCATAATTGATTGCTTTTTGATTGAGGCATGTTGTGTAACTTGAACCCTTATACGTTCTACTGAATGACTCATTTGGAATGAACTGAATAAACAAAGCGCCATGAAATATTCCAAAGAATTGAAGTAGAGCAGTTGGTCACATGATATTCGACCTGATAGTCAGGGCATGAAAAATCTATGAGAATTGTGCTCGCTGGAAATACTGTAATAGGAGCCGCAATATTTGTCAAGAGAATGAATACTCATATACAGAATGTCCAGGAAACTATGGCGAATCTCTCGCATTCAGATAGAACCTGAAATAGTATATTACACACCGGGGAAGAAATTCATTTCTGTCGTGAGATGAGTTAGCTATGATCTCGAGACAGGAACGAAACTTCCTACCGAGGTGTGTATTCGCGGGAATCAATGTCACCAGGTGGCGCTCGGTTTTCATAGTTCCATGTCAAAGCCACTTCAAAACTGGGGGAAAACAAACTCAATCCTTACTCAATCCCATTAGTGCCATTAGCTTGTACTGTGTACTGATGAGAGTGATGAGTTTTCAAATTTCTTGACATTTATTGTCAATATTCGATCGAAAACGCCTGTTGTAGATGTTCTTCTGGCAGATATTTTGCGAGATATTCTACACTATTCATATGGAAAAGGCCGACCAGTAGTGGAAGCAGAAGCAGGTCTCCGTGCTGATCATGTGATTTTGTGTGAGGCAGAAGACTTAAACAAAGGCACATTTTTGCACTTTGTATACAAACTCCGGCGATGAAATCTTTCCCACATTGAGTGAAATTGAAGTTGGGGTCCAGAGGAACTCCTGTAGAACAATGGATTTGTATTTGTTTCTGCGAAGCAGGACAATCTAGGTATTGTAAACATGTTGTAGCTGTTCTTTTATATGTCAATTGATTTGCTCGTCATAAAAAGTTTGAATTGTTTGAACTTTCTCCAATTCTTCACCCGTTCACTGTTCACTAAATTAATACAAATGTAATAATGTGAAAAATTAACCAACTCATCCATCATCACCACCAACAGTGCCAACACTTTATGTCATTGACAAGTTTGACTACAGCTACAGCAAGCTGAATGCAATGTAGTCTATGCACTTTATCCATAGACAACAGTTTGTTTTCCCCCATTTTGGAGTTTGTATTATGTAGCCTAGATGTCGCCCACTTCGTGAATCTCGCGAATACTATTCGCAACCATCATATTTCGATCATAATTGATAAATCTCTGTTGCGTGAAGTACTGAGAGCGGAAAGTGAGGGCAAGAAGTAGAGGTGTGTAATGTGACACTTCCCAACCTTTAATGACGTTAGTAATGACAACATTACATACAGTGTGACCCACTTCTAATAGAAACACCCCTGTATCTTGCATAATCGTTGGGTAAAGATCCTGAAATTTGCTGGACCGAGATATATACAGAAAATGCACTCTATGACCAAGTGGGGTAATCTTCAGTGATATACACGGCTCGCCAACAGCCATGGAACCACCCCAATTTTCGGAAAATGATATTATGAGTCAGAATAGGTTGAAAGTCACTTCGGATTTAGAATCAGGACGCCCAATTCACTAATTATTCATATTTTCTCTAGAAAATTTCCAGCTCAAAAAAATTAAATTTTGTCTCACTTCTCATGGAAGCACCCCCCCATCTCACGTAATTATTGAGGTAGGGTTCTGATATCCGATAAAGTCAATTACGTGAGATACGGGGGTGCTTCCATAGAAAGTGCGACAGAATTTAATTCTCTAGAACTGAAAAATTTCCAGGTAATATATAGATAATAGTTAGTGAATTGGGCGTCCTGATTCCGAATCTGAAGTGATTTTTGAACTATCTTGACTCCTACTATCATTTTCCGGAAAGTGGGGTGGTTCCATTGCTGTTGGCTAGCAGTCTATATCACTGAAGATGACTCCACTAGGACATAGAGTGCATTTTCGGTATAGTTTATGCAAAGTCAGTTGAACAGATCATCAAACGAATGTCGGGCCGCGCTGCTGCACTATTCGAACTATCAAAGGGACCGACGGCTGGCTGTGATGTGTTTTTCTAACTGACTTTGCATAAACTATACCGGGTGACCCGGAACCAATTTACCCCCCTGTATCTTCGTTGTTATTTTGTATGGATGTTTCAAATTCGGTACTTCGATTTGATGTTATGAATGTACAAATTAGCAAGTATAAATCCAAATATGTCACTTCCGGTTTGACCGGAAGCGCATCAAATTTTCATATTTCAAATAGGAAGTATTATTTTTTTTGAAAATTACAATTCGGTATAGAATTACCTTCACAATGACATATCACAATCATACTTTCAATTCACAATCTGCTGGTATAATTGACATTTTATAAAAAAAATTCTTTTTGTGTTCCCCTCGTAACGGAACATTTTCGTGACAGTATGCTGTGGAATATCGAACAATATCATGTAAGCAAGAATAATTCAATCTTCCACAGCATACTTCCATGAAAATGATCCGTTACGAGGGGAACACAAGAAGTATTTTTTTTATAAAATGTCAATTATACCAGCAGATTGTGAATTGAAAGTATGATTGTGATATGTCATTGTGAAGGTAATTCTATACCGAATTGTAATTTTCAAAAAAAATAATACTTCCTATTCGAAATATAAAAATTGGAAGCGCTTCCGGTCAAACCGGAAGTGAAATATTTGGATTGATACTTGCTAATTTGTACATTCATAACATCAAATCGAAGTACCGAATTTGAAACATCCATACAAAATAACAACGAAGATACAGGGGGGTAAATTGGTTCCGGGTCACCCGGTATATCTCGCTCCAGCTTTCAAGATCCTTAAACAACGATTTCGTGAGATACAGGGGTGTCTCCATTAGAAGTGGGTCACACTGTATGGTTGTAAATAAAAATAGATTACCATAGTTATTTCTCACATGCGCTTGGAAATCGGTTTTTCAAAGTAATCAATATGAATCAATGAAAATAATTCAATATGAGGGAAATTAGCAATTTTTTTCATGAGAATGATAGGAGAATTTGTTCAACAAAGTCTCGTTAGTCGTTAAGGTATCTCGATATTACGCAATGAATAAGAAAAACAATGTGAATATTTTGAAAACAGTAATCCAACTGGGTCCGTGAATTCTTGATAATGTTTGCTACGGAGTGGGATCTCAGATTCTCACAAAGAACTATGATATAGTTCGATTCTATAATAAGTTTTCAACCTTGTCGAATTGTCATTCCAATGAATTTTTTTTGTTACAGGTTCATCTAGTAAAAAGATGGAAATTGCTACACCAAAACGAATAGACGAACTACCAGATAAGCTGTTGATGTCTGGTATAAACTTGCCAGGTAAATAGAATTTTGGAATGTTTCAATCAATCAATCAATGAATCAATCAATATCATTCATTGTATCTGAAGAATCATATTCTTATTACAAGAAAATTGGTGTGAGCCAAATTTATATTATATATAGACGTGACACTGTTAACAGGAGTATAAAAAACAAAAACAAAAAAACTGAGAAAATTTCGAGTACAAAAATGACACTATATCATTATAATAGATTGAGTGCTATCCAAAGAAAACAAAAAAAAAAGAAATAAAATAATGAGACTAACCAAAAAGAGTTATTTTAAGATATTCATGATGGCATGAACCAGCTGCTTCAAAGTGTCAAAAGAGTGAACTGTTTCACTTATTGGGTACCTACTGAAAGTAGATTTCATAGTACCGGAAGAAATTCACAAATTCAGGAATTAATAGTGTCAACTATTGGATTTCTAATAATTCATACCTCTTCAACAACAAAAATCGGATCAAAAATATAACTGTTTATCGACGTTGAACCAGGCTGTTTTGAAATTTGACAGACGGTCTTCAAGTGTTCAGTTCTCGAGATACAGGGTGTTGGAGTTGAGAAATGAAAATTGTTCTTTCGCAATAACTCAGGAACAGTTGAATATTTTGAATTCGAATTCGGTATATGGTTAGATGAAACCATATCCAAATTGGTAAATTTCAAATCAGAAGGACATTTCAGAAATTATTTTTAGTGGTGTGCTACAGGGGGTTGTTGTCACTTTATTTCCTTTTATTTTTCTCAAATCACTGAAGAAATCACGATTATTTTCAATTTCTCCAAAATCGTTGTTCAATTTTGTTCAAAGCAACACCTCAACTGATATATCTGACCCAAAATAATTGTTGAATTCTTTTCAGGTATCATCTGTAGCTGAACAGAAATAGTTATTGCATGCAGAAAAAAGAATCAAACATTTTTGTAATACTGAAAATAACGCCAAAATTACTTTGCAAACTTCTTTTCAGGGTCAGAAATCTGAGAAACTGTTCATTCTAGCTCCGTTGAAGGTTTTTTCAGAACAAAATTGAAAAATGATCGGAATTTCACCATTGGCATAAAAAATATGGGTGTAAAAGTAACCACAATTTCCTGTAGCGCACCACTAGATAAAAATGTCCTGAATGACCTTATGGTCAAAAAATTACATGTTCAAAGATAAAATTTGAATGCAAAATATTCAATCATTTCTGAGAAATTGGGAGAAAATCATTTTTATTTCTCATCTTCAACACCTTTTATCTCGAGAACTGAACACTTGAAGAAGACCGTATCAAATTCTGAAACACCCTATATAGCTTCTCAAATAGAAACTGCAATATCTCTTGACGTTATCGAAAGACCACACATTCGATCAGAAAATGCTGTGAATTGCTTGGTTTATGTGCAAACACTCACCGTGTACATATCTGATGAGTGGACATTTGCATGGGCGATACATCGACAAGCTTTTATGTAGATTGGGAAAAGCCTCGGATAGTTTCAATTGATAAAAATAATAATATACCATCCTTGTTTTCTCAACTTTCTACATAGTTCTATATACTGATAACATTTTTGTATTCACATACACTATAGTTGGAATTCAAAAGCTACTAAATCAAAATATCAATAGTGATCAACACGAGAGAACGCTGTACTATACAATGTTCGGGAATATGAAGAAGCAGTCACATATTAGACAAAGCTGAACTGATGGAAATTTATATGGAGCATTCTTGCTGAGTAGAAATCGAAGCACCAAAATTGCAGAGTTTAACTGTGACAGAGTATTCAACAAATTCGGACAGTTCATTTGAGAAACCCATTGATTACTCCATAACCATGTTAGATCACATCACATCACTGAGTTGTCCATTTTCAATTGGAATTACGTACACGGAAAAATGACGCTTGAAATGCTTATTTGTTGTCAATTTATAGTCTCCTGGTATTCCCATCGAAACTTTCAAAATGAAAAATCATGCGGAAATGTTTCTTCTCCGCACGCTCGTAAAAAAATCATTTCTGGACTTGTAACTATTCATAAACGAGAAACACCCATCATCTGGTATTAGAATATAGGGAAGAGAGGGGCCAATGTTCATAAGTTTTGAATCATGAGGTCAAATTTATTAGAGAATAAAAATGTCGACGTTTTACATTATTCACCATAGAAGGCAATTGAGTTTGTCTATGTTTTCAAAAACATGAATAAGATCCATGTTAGAAGCACACCCTTCGACACTATTATCACGTTAAATTATTTTTCCTACGACCACCTATGAAAACAGCACAAAACACATTGATTTGTTATTGAGATAGTGACTCGTTTCACTATGACAACATATAACAGTTAGAAAGTTCGAAAGCAAAACTCACATGGGTGGAAATATGCGAAAATCGCACAGTAACAGGGTCTATAGATTATGATGTACCAATGAATGATTATCATGCTGAATTATGGTAAGTTAAGTTATGGTCAAGTTAATGGAAAGTTAGTGTAGATTTAACATGAGTTATTGTCGTTAATGTTGACGTAATGTTAAGTTGATGAAAAGTTGAAATCAAGTTAATTTCAATTGAAAGTTGAATTAATGTCAATGTATTGGCAATTTAGTGATTAATGTGAAGTTAATGTCAATTTGATGTTGAATTGATGTTGATTTGATTTTAAGGTAATGTCAAGTTAATTTTGAGTTAATGTTGATTTAATGTTGATTAATCATTGAGTTAATGTTAAGTTGATGTTTAGTCAATGTTAGGTTAATTTCAAGTTAATGTTGATTTGATGTTGAGTCAATTTCAAGTTAATGTTATAGAAACGAGGAGAGAAAATCCCAAAAAAATTTGGAATAATGAATATACCACCTCCTCGATTAACCTACAGACAGTATTTAATGTTAGGAAGCTGTTAAATTTATGTTAAGTTGATGTTAAGTGGATGTTGAGTTGATGTTAAGTTAATCTTGAGTTAATGTTAAGTTCATATTAAGTTAATGTTGAGTTAACGTTAAACTAATGATGTCATTTGAATATTGAAGTAAATAATAATGATAATGATATCACCTTCATGTGATCGAATATGATTAGAAACATGATCCCTACTCTGGTCCTATAAACACTCATGACATATAATATAAATATTTGTGGTCGTAGAAAAAATAGTGTACAAAACTCGGCTCGTGCTAAACGTCCACTCGCGGGAAATATGTCACTTTCCACACTAGTTATGTAATATACTATTGTAACCCATGGTAATGTCAAGACATTATGAAGATGACTGATATGAATTGATTCCCTTTCCAACCTCAATTCCCCTTCACTTTGACCAAGATAATGAAGATGGACACGTTTTCATTTTCAACGTCGCATCCATATGTGCCATTTGATGGTTCTCACAACAAATCGTATGGTAGTTTTCTAGGGGTTTGTTGGGTTTGCCAATCTTAATTTTCTACATCAAAATATTCAAATCAATAATTTCATTATAATGGTAAACTTGGTGACATAACATTTTTTTTATCCCTATGTAAGCACTCTTATCCTCATAACTCTTGTCGATTGTACTAATAACTATTTTAATTGTAGGACAATAATTATGTAATTTCTTATAAGGCTGATGATGGACAAATATATGTCCGAAACATGTATCAATCTTTGATGTGTTAACCACATTGAATGTCGTGGAGATGACTTCGTGTATCATTTAGTATTTGAGTTGATCATGATCTATGTTGATTCGAATGCCCTAAAAGTTCTTATAACTCAATTAGAATTTGCGAAACCCGATCTAACAATGGCATCACGATCAAAGAGGGCGTGACTCACGAAGACAGTATTTACTTCGAATTATCGATTTCAAAAGGGCACTGCCGATATGACATCAAACATGGGGCAAACCTGAATATTCAGATTTAAATATTCGATATCATAGTCAGTTTTCATAAATGTGAGATATACTGGGTGTAACAGGATCATGGCACACCTAACCATTTTGATGAACTTATATGGATGATAAATCAGGAAATTTTACATTTTTGACAGGATCAATTTTTTTTAGCATTACACCTGTCGATATGAGTGCATCAGACTTGATCAGAATAGTCATGACTCACTCAAATGAAGAATCTTAAATGAAATCACAATCAATTTGAAGCTTGAAATGTCACTTATATGGTATCATCGGATTCAGAAAATAATGCACCAAACCGCGCCATCGAAACATGAGGTTAATGTTAGTAAAACTAATGATGAATAATTCAGTCAATTTGTCAAATTTCGAACATAATGACGTAACGTTGTACTTCTACCCTCAAAGCAGCATATACGTATTAATAATCAATACGGATAATCTCTATCTGTTTCCATAGCGAAACATGAAGCCGATTTTTGAAGACAAATGACTATCCATAAGGAAAAGTTTTGAAACGATCAGACACATACTGCTTTGATTGAAAGGCTAGTAAACGTCATCGTCCACCGAAACGCATGTCTTTGATGACTACTATAATAGCGCATGACGCATGCGTATCATGCCACCAAATCCTTATGGATATTCATTTGTTTCATATTTTTGGCTTCATCCTGGCACTCGTTATGATCCGTATTGTTTATTAATACGTATATGCAAAGCAGTCAAATCTATGCAAGGTAACTCAAAACTAGTATGGCACTGCATAGAAACCCTTAATGAACTGGGAAGTTAGAACAGACTGACTCTAGCATGGGTACCAGCACATACAGGGTACGAGGGCAATGAAGAGGCAGACTCACTTGCCAGAGCAGGAGCAAACAAAGCTCTGAATGGTCCAGAACCCTTCTGTGGTATTGCGAAATCTTTACAAAAGTCTAGTATCAAATCATGGATGCAAATCAAATCTCAAGAATGGTGGAACAACCCGCCAGGTATGAGACAGGCAACAGAGTTTATTAAAAAACCATCGCCAACATTCACAGAATATCTACTGAGCCGGAAACGAAGTTCAACTAGAATACTAGTGGGACTT